GAGAGGGAGGGCACTCCCTCATCAGAGCAGGTCACAGTTATATTATATTCAGACGCTGTCTCTCTGTCTAAACCACTATCTGTAATCAAACTGTAGAAATCATTGGTTGTAGACTTCATCACAAAAGGAATATTGTCATTTATACTGCATTGAACCCTACCATTTTCACCGGAGTCTGCGTCCTCAATATTTATCATTGTCACAACAGTACCGAGTTTGGCATCTTCTGATATCACGTTTGATTTTGACATTATATGGATATCGGGTTTATTGTCATTCATGTCAATCACGTCGATTACCACTTTACATGAGTCAACTAGTCCTCCATCATCACTAGCCCGGATGTTTATCTGAAATGTTCGAGCTTTTTCATAGTCAACATTTCCTTTTAGCCGAATTTCACCACTTTCATCATTTACTTCAAATAAACCACGGGCATGATCTAAAATACTCGAAATTGAATACGTTATTCTTCCATTAGATCCATGATCTGCATCTGTTGCAGTAACTGTCACTACAACTGTTCCTACTGGTGCATTTTCTTTTATAGACGCTTTATAAATAGGTTGCGTAAAAACAGGGGCATTGTCATTCACGTCTAAAACAGTGATTATAATCTGCATTGTTCCTGTCATCTGCGGCTCTCCTCCATCCACCGCCGTCAGAATTAAAGAAAGGTCTTCATTCTTTTCTCTGTCAAGAGGTTTCTCTAAGACCATTTCGACGTTTTTCGTTCCATCTGCTTGATCATGTAATTTAACAACAAAATTGTCTCTCGGTTCAAGTCTATACGTTTGCAACCCATTTGAGCCTACATCTGAATCAATTGCGCGATCTAATATGAATTTAGCCCCACTCACAGCGGATTCACTAATTTTAAATTTGACATCGTTCTTTTCAAAGGATGGAGAGTTATCATTAACATCTGTGATTTCAATGGTTACACTGTAAAATTCCATCGGATTCTCTAATATAATCTGAAAGTGTAGAGCACAGGGCGTCGTTTGTCCACAGAGCGCCTCTCTGTCTATCCTATCTTTGATGAGGAGGACTCCTCTTTCGTTATTCAGCTCAATATACCCGTCACTGTCTCGAGTAAAAATGCGAGCTTTACCCCATTTTAGTCGTTTAACATCCAAGCCAAAATCCCTCGCCATGTTGCCTACAAGAGAACCTTTTGGCATTTCCTCGGGGATGGAGTAGCTGACCTGTCCGAGCACCAAGCTGAGGGAAAGGACCAAGAAACACGACAGTACTTGCCCTCTCATTGTTCTGGCCGACGTTATTCCAGTGTAAAACAAGTATGCTATGGCTTTGGGGGTTTTGCACTGCGATCTTTTTCAGTCAACGCCGGTTTTCAAAGCATATTCCCAATGTGTTAAAAATCCCTGTATCTTCGGTAAAGTCCAGACCGTGTGCTTTGCTTGTTTCTTTCTCGCTCTTAAAATAAAGACACGGTGGGAGGTACAATGAGTCTGCGGTAAATATAATACAGACATGGCCAACAGCGGCACTCTGAGTTCACAAAGCAAAATTGCATTTGAAAAGTGCAAAACAAACTGATAAGCCTGGTAAAGAATCAAAAAAAGCAAAGGAAAAAAGAAGACTTCTTTTGTAACTCGCCAATATTATTTGGTACTATACAGTATAGAATTGCTAAATACAATGGCGAATAAATGGGGAACATGAGATGTATATGTTTGGAAAAAACAGATTGTATGAAAATGTAATACTTATTCTAAGAGACAATGGAAATGTAACTTGAAAAAAAAAATGGTTTTGAATATGTAAACCATGTTGCTCTCCAAGGTGCTGAAGATAAGAGGAAAGGGATTTAGAGAGTGACTTCGATAGCTAGCAAATTCTAACCTCTAAAGGAGAGTCTGGTTCATCCAGGATGCTCTTCTCACTCTG